TTGTGGCATTCATGTGGACAGCAAAGTAAGAATTTCATTGTACAGGGAAACATGTTTCCTAACTGTGCATATGACAAACAAACACTTTGACCTTTGATCAGAGGGACAGCTCAGGTCGGCTATTTTGGGGACAAGCTCAGAGAGGCCAAATTGAGATGGTTTGGACATGTGCAGAGGAGGAACAGTTGTTATATTGGTAGAAGGATGTTGGAGAAGGAGTTGCCAGGCAAGATATTAAGAGGAAGGCCAAAGAGGAGATATATGGATGTGCTAAAAGAGGACATGAAGTTAATTGGGGTGAGAGTAGAGGATGCTAAGGATAGAGTTAGGTGGAAACAGATGATTTGCTGTGGCGACCCCTAACAGGAACAGCCGAAAGAAGAAGAAAGATGAAGATGATCAATTTCACTTCCTTTCCATTGTTGTTTTCTTATTGTTCTTCAGAACAGAGAATGCTGCAATGTTACCATGTGGCCATTAAAATGCATTTGGTTCCCTGTTCTCATGCTTCCCAGCCTACACTCTTGTCAGGAAAAATGCAAATAGATCTGTGACTATGATAATAGGTGGTCTGAGCAGGTGTTATCATTATTGCTATTTCAGGTCAAAACGAGCACCAAATTGGCACTGCGCTTCCTCATTAGCATACACGTGGTCTCAACTACACCTCTCCTCAAACCTTAGTGTAAGCACATTCATTCATGGCAGGAAAATACTGTACCAAACACACCAGTGCTCAAAAATGTAGACATGAGCCCGAGGAAAACTGCAGAACAACTGCAAATGAAGCAACACAGAAATTGCGCTGGCAGTAAAATAGAGCCTGGGGTCTTTTCTTGTGAACTTGGGAGGAGAGCTCTACAGGCTGCCTGTCAGCTGTACCGTGGTGCTTGGAGAGGGCTCATGGTCTTTTTAATTCCCAGCCAATCTTCTGTCCATCACACCACTTTATCCCTTCTCTAGAGCTCAGCTCAGGTCCACACACTGTCACTTTTCTGACATATCTTGCAGCCTACACCTCGACAATACCAGAAAATATTGTCAGTTCCTCCCCACCCCCAACTCACTTTCAGTATGAACAGCAAATCATATTTTCCAACTGGATGTAGGAACAGAGCCACCTGCCTGCCTCTCCACTCCAATCCACTTTATTTTTTACTTTTGTTAGCAGTGGGTTGGTGGGGGTACCTAGAATAAAATTAGAGCTCATGACAGATTTCTCCATCTTTATCAGATCACCCAAGCAGTTTCTTCATACTGTCCCGGATGTTGATAGTAATAAGAGGTGGATTCAAAGCAACACAACACAGTACAGCCCACCAAAGGTAAAGAAGCCCCTCCTTGAGCACTATCACTCTCAGGGGATTTCCATGAATAAAGGATTAGCTGCAAGCCATGAGTCAAGCTCTGGTTCTTCCAGTTGCTTTACATATTTAAGGCCAAATTTTGCACCAGCAGTCCAGGTGGCTTAAAGTCAAAGGAGATTGTAGAGTAAATTCTTGACATGTAAGCTCTATCAAGTGTCTAGTTTGTCCACTTTAAATGATGTGTCAGACACGTTGAGCTAAATATACATGTACATATCACACTGTTAAAACTGACTTTATTGGCACAGAATTTATCTTTCTGACTTTCTAACTTGTTTAGCTGTCATCTTAAAATAAACCAAGTACAGACAGGTAACAACTTCATGGAAAATCCTGAATAAACGAGTGGAAATAGAGGGTTACTGATTAATTTGCTGATTATATGATTTTTCCCTTTATTCACACAATGTCAACTGTTGGGAAAAATGCCCATTTTGACCTACCAGAGTCAGAGGTGGTCTCTTCAAATGTCCTGTTTTGTCAAACTAACAAATCCAAACATATTCAGTTTATTATCATGCATGACAACAAAGAAAGACATCAGTTCTTTACAATAAAGAAGGTGGAACTAGAAAATGTCAGTGACTTTTGCTTTAAAATAGTCACTGGTTAATTTTCTATTAACTAATTGACTAATGGTTGCAGCTCTAGCTTACTCAATTGCCTAATGAGTACGAATTGTAATGATTCTGTCCTGTCGTCGGCTTCTGTTCTCATGCTTTTGTTTTGACACAATGACCACCGAGTACTGGCTTGCCCTTCTGATTCAGAATGTTTTCTGTGTTTGGACTATCGGACTCCCCTCTCTAACTTCTCGGTTTTGGATTCCTTAGCTGTGTGAGTTTGCTGGTACTGACCCTGGATTGTTAATATGGACTTGGATTATGTTTTTGGACTACTGCACTGTATGCTCTTACCTGTGCTCAGTAAAGCTAAAGCACTATAATTGAGTTCACCCTAGACATCATCGGCAGCTTTACGCACTGATCCCAACAATGAATAACTGTTTGGGGGTGATCCCAGATAGTGACTTAAAACAGGTTAACTTCGTTGTAAAAATGAACGTTTTTCAACTTGCCAAGGTAAAGTCTGTCCTCAATCATAAGAATCTGGAGAAGATAATTCATTGTTTTATTGGTTAAAAATTGGACCACTGTAATTGATTGTATGTTGGAACCAATCAACGTTTTTTTTCTCGTCTCCAGCTGACTCTTACCTCTTACCTAACACCTCCAAGTGTATACATATATCTTGTATTCTCTACTTTCTCGACTGGCTTCCAGTTTGTTTTAGAATTGATTTGAAAAATGTAATGGTTACATTTAAAGGCCTTAATGACCTGTTCCCTTCTAACTGGACAGAACTCTTAACCCTTCACAAGCATGACCAGGCACTCTGGGGCTCAGGAGGTAGAGCAGGTCATCTCCTACCCAGAAGATTAGCGGTTTGATTCCCGGCTTGTCAAAGTGTCCTTGAGCAAGACACCGAACCCCCAGTTTCTCCCAGTGATGACACCAGTGCATGAATGCGTGAGTGCTTGGGAGTGTGAATGGGTAAACGGCCAAATAGTGTGAAAGTGCTCTGGGTGTGCTGTGATGCATAGAGGCGTGGTGTACAAGTATAAGACCATTTACTGGTCAGCTTCTTCTAGGTGTGATAACACCTTTGCAATGGTTGCTCCCAAATTGTGGAACTATATACCACTGAACATTTGTTCTATCACAGATCGGGAACTTTTCAGGTCCAAACTAAAGGACCTTTTTATTTACACTGGTTTTTACTCCCCAATGGTGTCCTGGCACCTTTTTTTTTTACTCAGCCTATTTTTACTTTAAATTTGTGTACCGGTATATATTTTGCTATTTTATTTATGCTATTTATATATACTTGTTTTATCTCATTCTGCTATTTCTATTTGATCACGGTAAAGCACTTTGGACAACTTCTAGTTGTTTTAAAATGTGATATACTGTAAATAAAGTTTGATTGATTTTGAATATATTTTGGAAGAATGACATTTCCTCCCCCAGACAGAGGAGTACTGAAGCTGTTCTGGAGACACTTTACTAAAAAATGTATGCTGTTCACTTTATGTTAGTCTTTCCTTTAATTTGTTACTCAGCTGTACGCCCCACTATGGCGGACAGTAAATCAATTTCTTCATGACACAAAGATTATGGACTAAGATAGGAAAGCTTTTGGTAAAAGCTCTGAGGAAAGTCATACTGCTGCTGATTTTATCTTCCAAGACTAATGACTAAGGGATAAACTGTCTAATCCATCATATATTTAAATGACTTAACCAGGATCTTTACTATTTATGCCAACTTTATAAGTGTATGTACATGACTTTGATTAATGATTCTGACTCTCTACATACCAGGTGATATTATGAAAATGAAAGTAAGTCTTTTGTTTGGTAAGATGGTGCTTTTCATGTGATGAATAATCATATAAATTCTTTTTAAAGTATTACATATACATCATATATTGTATTGCATTGTGCTAAGAGGTGTTTTTATTAGTTTGTCGGTTCCATTTATATCAGTGAGGCTAGGCTAAATAACAGAATCAGCTCTCTGTGCAGCCCAGTTCAACAGCAGCACAAACACCAGCCTCCAAAATGGTCCTACAGTTGAATCAACACCTCTATAAAAGTTTGAACAAAAAGCAAACATTGCCACCTTCAAATAGGAGAGTTTATTGCAGGACTGTTAGATTAAACTGACAATTGAATATATATAAGTGTGTGTGTGGCCTTGTTGTTCTATACTTGCATGGCCCAAAATCCATGAGTTACTATCTTCATGGCGGCCAGAAGTCACTTGTGGGGACCGGAGGCTGGTCCCCACAATGTAATTTGTCAAATTTTCTAAAAATGATGGGGTGTAATGTTAAAAAAATTGCCGACTTTGGTTAAGGTTAGGCAAGTAGCAGTTCTGGTTAAGGCTAGGGTAAGTCTCCTGGAAATGAATGTAAGTCTATGTAGGGACCTGGTAAATGACAAAACCAAAGATGTGTGTGTATTCATATCAATACTGTACATAGCATAGTTGGGTGAAACAGTTGAACTAACTCCACTGAAGACTGTCTGTTGGGGTATTGTAGAGTCAGGTCAAATGGTCTCAAAAAATCGTGTCTTCCCCACACTGACAAATTTACAGCAAACTGTGTGAATCAATCAGGACTCAGAGTTTCAACTCCAGAAAAAATAAATAAAACAAAGTCAGGTGTTGTAAAAAATATGGGCCGGGTTCATCCTCAAGATGTATAATCTAATGTTGTCTGTATCTTATGAAATATTTTCTCTCTTTAAAACTTATCTGAGGAATTGTGTTGAGTCTGGTATGTGGTACTCCACTTCTGGAAGCTGCTCTTTTGCTAATTTTTTTTCTCGGCCTTGAGGGAAAACATCTCCACCTTTGTTTCACTAGTACAACCTATTACAGCCCCACACGATAAGAAGCATTCAGTACACTTACCACAATTGCTGTGATTCTCCACTGCAAACATCATAGTACATTGGAAGTCTCCTGAGACCAAGGGAAAAAAGTCAGAGCACGTCCACTGATTAAAGCATTTCAATGTGAAAAATTTATTAAGTCTCGCCATCTCACAGAGATATCATTATATAAATACAATGGTATTACATAACAACTTGCAGTTTTAGTTACAGAAAGCAGATTAACAATAAATGAGCTTAAATACAAAGTTGAGACATCATAATTTGATATTATATTGGAAAACTGAATAAGAAAATGTAAAGGGATTTCAGGTTTTGAAAGCAACAGGTTTGGACTGGTATACAGTAGAGTTCATGTAGAACTGTAGGATGTTTATAAATTGCTTACAGCAAACAATACTAACGGTGCTAGTAAAATGTATTTAGAAAAAAATAACATTTTTAGCATTTCAGTCATTAAAATTAAAAATAAAGTACACAAAAAGGCATGCGGGACAAACAGTTCTGCTCTCTGAAGTATATCATTTCAACACCGGGGTTTCCTCCTTATTTCTTACTTTTTACAGATGTGTTGTGAACATGTCTTGTGATCAGTATGTAAAAACTTAATAATAAAATGTGGTGTCCCCATAATGTTGCACATGTTGAAATAACTGACCCTATGAGTGTCATTACAAAATAATAAAAAATGGCTATGCATAGCAAACACATCCCAAATGCAAAATATTACAGTAGCCTGTTTGAATAGTTCATCATTGCAGCTTTTGTGAACTCACTTTTATACCTTTAAATAATCACTAGTGAAATGTATAAAAGCAGCAACTAACTGAAAACCGGCCTCCTACAAATTATGTACAGCTAGAACTATTTTGTATCAGGCAGCTACGTCTTGGTGGGAACATAATAATGTTGTATCATTATCTGAAAAATATTTAATGTTTTTATTTTTAACATGATAATTTGTCCTGTACTAAAGCAGAGTTAAGGTAAGTTAAATAGCGAGCTATGAAAGTGTTTTTTTTCAAAAATGTCCTATTCATATTGGACAAAAATTGTATGTAGGTTCTTTGATCAATTCATACTTGTGCAACTAGGTGAAAGGCAGTTTCATTTTTCAATTTATGTTATGAGTTTATTGTTATGATGGAGGCTAATGTTTAACAAAAACACAGGAGAACTTTTACACATACCAATTCTTCATTTTTTGAAGTTGTAATACATTTATGTGGGAGGTATTTTTTGTTTGACCTTTTTATGCCATCATTTTGTAAATTTCCTCACTACAACTTTCTTCACATAAAACTCTTACTAATAAGTTGATAACATTCTATAGTCTATGTGTGATATGCCTACCCTTTTGCAAAATAATTGCAATCTATATATTTTAAAGACTGGTTAACAGCAGGCTTGAAAAATATTAACTATGTAAGGCAAAGCAGAACTTCTGGAGCACTTTTTCCAATGGGCATTCCATTTTAGTAACAAATCCAAATGTTCAATGTTTTCTTGCATAAAATCAGCAGAGAAGAAAATTACAGCTGTTATGACTCTGGGGATGATGTAGGCTGTGTTTAAGCTGTTAATCATGATTGCCAGGATTGTGTATTTGGATGGATTTGGTGACACCTGTGGCAAGGTTTGGTTACACATCTTACCTAAACAGTTTGATACAGAGTGAAACATGGAGTGCTGAATGTGTAGGCAACAGCAGCAGCACTGCTAACTAGTATGGGACACAACAGTATATTTAATAATCCAGCAATAGTAATAGATGAGCCGATTACTGATCTCTTATTAAATGTTTTCACCATGTTCCACTGCTTGGGCTGTATTACCCATTAAGTTAAAACTAATTTAAAGGGTTACTCATTTCAGACACCAAAAACTGTTTATGGGTCACGGAAAGTATTACTTTATATGTGGAAAATAGCTATACAAAGTCTTTTGTGGCTAGAGAGGGGCCTGTTAATGTCACGTCAGCAGTGTAAATTAGGTCTTAAGACAAAAAGGGGGAAAAAAAAGTAAAGTCAGTCTGCTACTCATCTCTGCTTGAGGCTACATTAGCTGGACTAGCATAAAACGCTCAAATTTCTGACTGAACTCTCAGTTGTTGAATTTCATTGCTTGTAATGTAGGCAGGTTTTCACAAGGAGGAAGAATGTGTTCAATAAAAAGACAATATCTCTGGTTCAGCTGCATCAACATCTACTGTGGCTGACAGTGTTACAGAATGTTAAATTGGTGGAGTACTCTTTAAAGCCATGTTTGGGGGACGCTTCCCATGATACTTGCACAACTTGTAACTGACATTTTGAAAAATGTAATTTTTTACTCTATCGCTGAGATTTAGACATGAAAATCAATCCATTTGAGTTGATTAGCTTAGCTCGGTAAACAGCTCGGTATATAGACTGGGAAGAAAAGCTAGAAAAAATAATTGTTAAAATGTCAAATTCTTTACCAACAAAGAAAATTAGCTTTGGCCAGTAGTAAAAAAATGTCAAAGATTTACATGTTAATTCCAAATGAAAAGCACAAAGTAAACTGCGCTGAACCCTCCATTTTCAAACAGCATGAATGTAGTTAGTGAAGTAAATATAACTGGTCTGTAACATTCAATGAGGTCGCAGCAAACCAAGAAAACACTTGGAACTTGAGGCAAAAATGGTGGAAACCAATGGCGGAGTAGGGAAACTGGAACATGAACCTGTGCTTGAGTTCATTTTAGAACTAAAGATAAGAAATTCATCTTTCTGTGTTTATCAAACACATAGATCCTAGAGGATTGCAGTGGTCCTGAAAATAGGCAAATGAAAGTGTGTTGTAACTGTGCTGCTGCTTGTGCATACCAGTCCAACAACAAATTTGCAGGCATCTGACAACCTGTCAGAATGCTCCCATCCTCAGGTTTGGGTTTGCAAGTCAGTGGCTGAGCAACTTTCTAGTTAGCAGCGCATTCCACAAATTGTACATACAGAAGAGAATCATAAACTGCATTCACTCTATTAACTAGAGTTAAATACAAAGGCATCAAAAGCTACAAGATGAACATAAAAAATAAAAAACAGATCATAAAACAGATGATCCTCATTGGAACTGGACACACACATCCTTTTGAGTTAAGACCTAGGAATAAAAGAAAAAAGTTAATTTCAGCAAAGAGACATTTTCCTGAAAACCTTTGTGATAGGCAATCATGTAGATTTATAGAGAATACACTTCCAAGTATAATGGTTTTGAAGAATAAGTGCTATAAAATTTCAAGTGAGTCATCGCATTCATTACAGTTGAGTTATGGTCATTTAGTTTATCTTGTTGCTGCTGCTCCTGTAAGCTAAATCCTTTCACATCTTATACTGCAGCCTCAATTGAAGATGGTATATCTGCTTTCTAAATGTATTTATAATTTCAAAATATTTGACCAATTATGGGAAACCGACTTTCAGTGTGTATGAAATCAATAGCAAACAAAAAAGAATAAAACAAAAGAAAACTGCAATTTTAGATTAAAAAAAAACTGGGCTTAATAAAATTTGAAATAAGACTCATGAGAGGGTTTTGCTAAATCAAGATGTGAAATAAAACACAAACAACAAGGAATTCAAAATCAGACCTTTGGTGAGCTTAGTATAAACATGTTAAGTGTTTCCTAAATGAGCAGTGTGATGCTATCCTCTCCAAAACGGAAGAGCTTCCTTAGCCAAACAAACTGCCCAAATTTCCACCAATGCTATCCTCTCCAAAACGGAAGAGCTCCCTTAGCCAAACAAACTGCTCAAAGTTCCACCGAATGTCACTAGAATATGTTAAAGCTTTGGGGAAACGCACTTATTTGCTTTCTGAAAGCTACAATATGCTTCTCAAGAGTATAAGCAAACTGCTGCACTCCACCCATTACTGCTTCTCTTGTTCTTTTGCATTTCATCCAGATCTTTGCCTACAGCACATCCTTGATGTGTTCACTGCCTCGGCTAATGCAGGAATTTGAAGTTTGCTACCTCTCCATTCCTGCATTACCCTACAGTCAGGCTAACTGTTTCTACCTGTTTCCATTCCTTATGCTAAAGTAAGTAGCTAAATCCTGATTATGATACTTAATATTCAGACACCAGTTTGATATTGATCTTGATATCTTACTCTCAGTTAAGCAGTTAAGCATACTTCCCACCATGTTGAACTACTCCATTATGTTTTTGAGGCCACCTGCTAGCTAACAGACAAACAAGACTGAAACATTTTGTCTTCCTTTCCTATTGGTATGGTGCAGTTTAATTAGAATTTGTATGTGTATTCTGAATGCCTTGTTCAAGCGCCGGTAAAGCTGTTGAACAGTATCAGTCACAGTGAGGATTAGTTACACAGTGCACCCATCCCACTGCTCCTCTGCTTAATTCCAACTCTATTCATTTCCATGCTGCAGAGTGGTTAAAACTTACTGGACATCTTTGGTATGTGGATGGGGCCACTGCTCGTGCCATCACCTCCTTCAGTCAGAGCTTTGATCTCAATGAGATAGTCCTCTCCAGAAGGGATTTCCAGTTCCACACTGGTCTTATTGGTTTCCAGTACAGTAGTCCTGCCATGCCATTTCTGACGGTAGACAACCTGGAGGAGAGTGTGGATCCCAGAGGAAACATCTGATTCATTTGCCATAATAATCAACTTTTCAGCACACAGTTTTGTGACATCTCTTGACACATTAAACTTATGTGTGAAAATCAAATCAGAAACCTGAAAGCAGGAGATGGACTGTATATGCAGCCCTGCTCATTTTGTGGAGCTCTGTTGCAAGGGAGGATACAGTGCATATACATGGGAATTACTGAATAATTTGCCAAAGTCAATTCTCTGACATGAAAGTCAAAAAAATATACACTTTTTAATCATTTCTAAATGCTTATATTTTTCATACTTTGAAACTAAAGGTACAAGTTGGCTCACTATGTCACACATTTCTTTTGAGATCTAAAATCAAATATTGAGCTTTTTGTGGAAAGCACTGTAAAAATCAGTGTTTTCTACACAAATATGTAAAGTAGATAAAGTATGATTTACTGTTGCACTGGTTACAAAAAGCTGAATTCCCTCTGTGGTGTGATGCCTTTCATTTTATCACCTGGAACAGATCTTTTAATTTTGAAAGGCCAGACAGGGCCAATCCATAATGTAACATTGGAGTGCTGAGGTCTATCTTTCCACTGCAATGAGAAAGCCATTTATTGGGATGACAGCTGCTGAGCCTCTATTTGTTTCCCCTGTTGTGGAGTTGCTGCTGTTATTTTGACAAACTCACCTTGTATCCTGTCACCTCAGACTCATTTTCCATTGCTTTGACATGTTCCCAATTTAGAAAGATCTTAGAGTTGGTCAGGTTCCACTCAATATTCCCTGGAGACTGACTTGGTGCTGCAAGATATGCAATTATATAGACACAAGTTTCACATATGAATGCATGAACCAATGTCATTAATGGTATTTTCTGAACTAACTCTGCAGTCAGCCTTGAATTAGGTGTTGGGTGTTGAAGCACAATGCACTTCATACAGTATGATATACTGTACCCTTCAACATACAAGAGAAAAACAAAGGGAAAGAAAAATAGAGAATACATGCTCTTTGATTACCCTCTCATTTATGTGTGATAAAAACACAGCTAATAAGAATATAATGAAAAGTTCACCCTGAAGCAGCACAAAAGTCTTTACTGCATCACATTTCAGTGAGCAGCCTTACAGTGATTCTAACTAAGGCAGTATGGCCGTTTTGGCCTCAGTAATTATCTTTAGTATAAAATGACAGAACAACAAACAACATTTAATAATATTAAACATAAAATGTGTAGGGGCGACATAGCGGCCCAGCAAGAAGGTTCCCGGGTTCGAGTCCCAGCCAACCCGATGCCTTTCTGTGCGGAGTTTGCATGTTCTCCCTCTGCCTGCGTGGGTTCTCTCCGGGTGCTCCAGTTCCCTCCCACAGTCCAAAGACATGTATGTTAGGTTGATTGGCGACACTAAAAATTAGACTTCATCCGGAAGGGTGTCCGGCGTAATACATGCCAAGTTTAACATGTGAATTGTCAGTTGGGTGGCAACTGATGGTTCGCTGCAGTGACCCCTAAAGGGAGCAGCCGGAAGTAGAATAGGAAAAATAAAATGTGTAACAGGAAACAGCAAACAAATATAACAAGCTACTATTTGAAGCTGATAGAGGACCTGCATGCTTGATAAGGAACGGTCTGAGTAGGGGGAGGACAATAGATGAGTGAGTAAATGAACTAATGAATATGACAAAAAGGAGAAAATACTAAAACTAAAATAAGTAACTAAATAATATATAAATAACTAAAAAATATGAGTGTTTTATGAGGGACTGGAAGATGTTTTGTAACTACACTGAACATACTACTACTAATAACTATGACTAATAATACAGATTGATTTAATTCATGTCTGCTCAATGTGTCCTGAGGCTGCAATAAGGCCACTGTGGTATATTGAAGTTCATGTATGTCATTTTAATAAGTTAAGGTAAAAGGAAATCCTTAAGTATCTCAATAAATAGCACAGTCTCAAAACAGTAAAAAGAAATGCAAATGCAGAGATGTTACATAAATTAATTTTGGAAACTGAATTAAAACTACTGTAATGCATTAAAACAAGATGGGAAAGTGTCCTGTATGGCAGTGCCAAGTTAATGTGACAAACTAATAGTCTGCAAATCAAATCAGCTAAATTTGGCAGAGAAACTGTTATCTGTGATTAATTAGTTATGTCTGTGAATGTCCAGAAGAGAGAGCTTTCCTTCTTCATTCCTGTTAAAGATGCCAGAGAGTGAGAACCATGTGTGACATCTGCCTTGATTTTTTTTCCTTTTTCAAGGTGTAACATTTGGAGGCACCGCTGTGATTGAAGGTGGCTAGGGCCAGTTTCCCAGACTACAGACATTCCTATCACTCATCATTCACCTCCTACATCAGCAGCAGCATGTAGCAGCCCAGCAGCAGTGTGTGGTGGTTCGTCTGTGGTGTGCAGTGGTCTAACTGCAGCTTGCAGTGGCCTGTCAGCAGTGCAGAGTGGTCCATCAGTGGTGAGTGACAGATCAGCAGCAGCCTGAGAAAGGGCAGCTCACATTGACCAAGGGCAGCGAAAGGAGCGACACTGGCACATGGAAACCCAAGGGACACAGCTTGACTTTCCACCCTCTGGCAGAGGGTCAAGCTACAATGAACAAAAGCCCAGAAGGTGTCTACAGTGACACTGCCAGCACAGGAGACGGAAGCTTTGATCTCACCATAAGAATGGATTCACTCGAGGACTTAAACTTTAAACTTAAAGTGATAGGAACATTGCACACTTTGACAAAAGATGTTCTCACTGAAATCTGTAATGTACTGAACACTGGGGGGTTAATGCAGATGAATTTATCTGGCAAAAGTCACTTATAAAACATCTGGACAGGGATGAGGTGAACGGACTAGAAAACGGGGGTTTGGATATATTATTTTTGTGTGTCTGTTCAGAGTAGCATCCCAAAGGATGCAGGTTGAAATGTAACACAGGAACAGGCCGTTCTACCCTCAGAACAGGAAAGATTGTGTAAAGAATTAGAAGCAGTAGCTCGAGCATTAAAGCTATCATTGCAGGAAAATCAAAATGCAGCACAGGGGTCAGTAATTACATGTGGGAACAACAGAGGCCAAGATCAAGCACAAACTCAGCAGCTCAAGTTTAAGATAGCTGGACAGGTTGGGGAGCCAGGGCAGAAAGACAAGCTTAGCTTCTCAAGCTTAGCTCTTAAAACTGAACAGGGCATCAGTAGGGGATATCCTGAAGCTGAGATAGTTGATGCAGTGGTAAGGGCCATAGCACCAAGGCTACAACTTTGTAGGTACCTCAAGGAAAAACCAGATCTGACCTTACCCACACTGAGGTGCATCCTTCATTTCCATTATCAGGAAAAGGGGGAAACAACTGTACAAACAGTTAACTTCATAATTCCAGGGCAGCAAAGAAAGCCCACAAAATTTTGTGATCAGTGCCCTTGAGTTGAGAAAAAAGATTCTTCTCACCCCCCAAGAAGCTCATTCAGCTTTAACATATGACCCAGACCTGGTGTCATATGTGCTTCTACACACACTGTCCTTCTAGGCCTACAGAATGACAATATCAGAAATGATCCCCTACCACATATGCAACAGACTTGTAATGATGAACTGCTTATTGAGAAAGTGAACATCACTTGTGCAAATGAGACAGAGAGACAAATGGAGTGATGAATCAACTGAGAAGAAAAAGAAAGAACTAAAAGATGTGTTGAATGAACTGAGAGAAATGCACTCAGATACGGCTGTAGTAAAGACTAACTGCTGAAGTTGCACAGATCAAAGATGCTATTTGACAACTACCGCCAGTTGTACAGGAGTATGTCCCTTCCCCTCAGTTTCAGCAGCTACTGAAACATTTCTGACCTCTCCCAGGGCCCAGAGTAAGAGGTGATGCAGCACAATGCCAGCAGCAGTTTGCCAGAGAACGTTATCCATACTCTTCATCCCATGCACATCAGAGAAAATGTTTTGGCTGTCAACAGAACAGTGTTGAGTACTGCATTCATTGTTACAGATGTGGTAGCAGTGAGCACTTTCTTGCTGGGTGTAGAGTCAGTGATACCCAGCCAGAAAACATTTAAATGAGAGAGGGTTACCCCTGCAGGACAGGGAGTAACCGGGAGCAGTAACATGTGCCAATAGCAGCACTGTTGTGCTACTGGAACATGCTGAAAGTTGAGTTTGCTTTTCTTGCAAGACAGGCACCTACTGCTCCAAGATATAAGTCAGATAAATGTCCCATAACAACCACACACCATAGAAAGATAAGCTACATCAGCTAGTTGACTTAGTGGGGAACCAGTGTGTCAATGATTGCTACATCCAAGGCTGCAAGACTCGGAATTGGTGCATGAAGCTACTGACAATGTCGTGGGTGAACTCTATTATATTGCCAGATGAGGTAAAACAGAAAATGAACTGAGGTGCGGGTCACAAATAACAGAACAAAATGCAGGAGTCCAGAAAACATAATCAAGTCGATCCGGGGTCAGAGCTAGAAAAACAGACACAAGGGGGGGAAAAAAACACTGGAAAGTCCGAACATGGGTTTAGTGCAATCTGGCAGCTTTTCGGTGGGGGGAAAGCTGCCTATAAAGGGGAGAAAACAGGTGAAAACAATGAGTGCTGATTAAAGTAAAAAGTCTGAAACTAAGGTGAAACAGAAACAGGAAGTAATGTCAAAATAAAAGCATGAAAACAGAAACAGGCAGGACAGAATCATGACAGACTCAGGCATTATGAGATACTGGCTCTCAAGTCTCTCTTGTGAGTGAAAAATGGATTAAAACATATTTGCCACACAAGGAGCTAAGGGATGTGTCAGATGTATGGACTTGATGACTTGAAAATAGCAGCTGCAAATGGAGAGAACATGCCACATATAAGCTGGATAGTGACTAATTCTAGGCTAGCTACTGATGGTTCAGCTGCAGAGGAATTGCTTCTCATAGAACAAATAATCACAAGGGCTGTTCAGCACTTAAAGGGGACAAACAGAGAACAGTTACATGCAATTCTTGAACCTAATTTTCCTATCCTGGAAAAGACCAGCATTTCTGGTTTCACTGACTTAGTGAGTGCTGAACCATCATATGAATAAGTTGTAAGAACAAAAGCACCACTCTGATCAGGTTGAGTGCAGAGTAAAGGCACAATCTCCAAAAAGAGATGTCACACTCCTCTTTGAACCAGACCTCAACCCTCAGTGGGCTGAAGGACTGGATTTTTGTGAAATGCCGATAACTTTGAGAAGTGGAGTACCGAGTTACATTGTGCTTGATGTCCAGAATCCCACTGATATTGATATTATGCTGACATGAAAAATGGTGGTAGGCACCTTAAACCAAATGCAAGGTATATACCCAGCTAGTGTTTTGGAGAAATGCTCCCCCTCTGCTCCAGCATCAGTGAACAATATCAACGTGGGCAGTGAAAAACCACTGTACAAAGCGATAAAAGATTACGTGCATAACCATATCCCTCAGGGGTAAATACAGAAGTCTGAGTCATATATCCTTTCATTGAGTTGGGCCCATGACACCGAGAAGGTTCAACAGTATGTTCCAGTGTCCCAGAACCACCCCCCCCCCCTTTGCCTGTGACTGCACCCACACACTCAACACACAACCCTTCATCTATTCAGGTTAATTCATGCTAACTGTTACCAAACAGTCACTAGCACTAGCAGACATTTCAATTGCTGTTCTAGCCAGCAAAAAATTGAAATAACTCACCAAATATTTAAAGTAGTTCAACAGTATCAGAAACCACCCTGTGTTAGTATTCACTCTAACAAACCAGT